TATTATCACTGTAGATATAGATAAGATAAAAATGATATAAATCGAAATAAATTTAATAAATCAAATAAACTGTTTTACTTTTGCACATTATATTCTCCTAATATCGAGAACATAGCTTTAAAACTTCGAACTAGTAATTTACTTCAGTAACTTGTAATTGTCAACCTAAATTTTTTGTATCCTCAATGACAATCAAAATTAATTAGAGTAAACATAAACAATAATTGAATAAAAATTGCTAAAGTATGTTCTATAATTAAAGAAAATTCAATTTATTGAATTTTCATTAAAAAGACAAGTAAACATAAAATAAAAATTTAAAAAGTAGTATAAATAATTTGTTATATTCCTTGCAATCTCTTACATAGAAATATATGGTAGAAACAGAAACTAATGGAAGGGAAACTGTTGATTTTGATAGAATTATTAGTCGATACAGTGAATACTACAATACGGGCGATCTATGACGAAATATTGCCGGCAAAAACATGCGTCTCATTTCAAGTAAAAAAACTTTATATTTATTAATTCATTTATTAATTCATTTATTAATTCGCTAATATTGTAAAAATAATTATAGATACTGAACTTGCCCCCTATCAATATTTATCAAGAAATGCCAACAGAAATTTGCGCCTGTTCACACAATGAATCGCAAGTCTTTAAAAAGGGCAAGTCCTGTTTATTTGCTCTTTCAGACAATGTCCTACAAAAACCATTGTGCAACTTTCCCGTAACAATGTCCGTTTACAAAGAACTACCGCCAGGAATTTTGCCGGACGTGATGCTAATTGGTCTGTGAATTTTTACTTGCTTTACTACTTTTCTTCAATATTCTTACATTCGAATCAAGAAATTGAAATTTCATCTAAATAAAGACATTCTTTGACACAGGCACTCATCAAATTCAACTTCATGGCTTTATGAACTCTTTGCTGGCCATGTATATTTCTCAGCACAGTAATCCATGTAGAACGATGAAGAACGCTTTTAAAATTACCACAGCAACAGGACAACATGTAGGCGAAGTCACAGTTTTCATCCGTGCTTCGTGTTTCGGCAAGAAGATCGTTACGCAATTTCAGCTTCCTCGCAACAAGGAATCCTACCTTTTCAAGGGCGTGGACGATAGTCCTGTCTATCAATGCAAGAGGGTTGTTTCCGCTTCCGATAGACAACAGAGACAATGTATATGCTCTCCCAAATCTGGCGACGGCAGCGGAGAAGCTACAAGGATTCGCTATTGTGTTAGTGCTGATGAACACCGGCGAAAAGAACGACTGGAGAATATCAAGAAAGATAAATGTCTTAAGTGTTGTCGGGGTATGCGAGATATCAAGAGCAAAGAAACTGTTAGAAAATGTGGCTGCATTATTAAAGATGAACGGACTTGTAATTGTGTCTGGTCAAAATATTCAACATGAGTAGAGAACAGCGCAGAATTAACGTTCCTAAAAACCAATAAATAAAAAATTCAAAAATCAAGACAGCAAAAGCTTTCAGCTAATCGATAACCATCGCATCGTTTCGATCCTCATCTAGCATTGAGTATGCTCGCCTGCGTAAATTTAAATCTCCGTTTATTCCTGTCTAATATCGCGGAGGGCGCCGTGATGGAACCAAAGGGATGCGACTACAGGAGGAAGGGAGGCCCGGTCGACGACACCACCGCTCGCATCCCCACCAACCCCTTACCACCCTGCGGGGTGCTAGGCCGATATTGTCGCGTCTGCGCGATGAACAACGTGTAAGACAGTCGGGCTAAACGGCTCCACGACAAAGATGTGCCATCGCGGCGTCGTGCGGCGTCGGGACGCGTGTTAACCCCTCGCCGATCTCGGTAGAGGCGCCTGACCGAGGTGTTGATGGCACCCTGGCGACAACCTAGATGCTCACGAACATCTTCGCGCGATCATGAACAGCTCACCGCAGAACACAAACACCACCGGCACCGGACAACGGCGGACAGCCGGTGTCGATAACAGCGACGAGGAGGAGTGGAGCGGCGTCGTCGAATGTGTAATTATCCTGCTTTTGTCTGCTTTCCCCCGCACCTCGCAGTTATCCAATAACACCGAAAAGAAAATGGAGGAATTGTTAATTGTACCAATAGCATCGACTTGATCCGTTCATTTAATTTTTTAATTGACCCTTCCATCATCATTTTTAGAGATCGCAGAATTTTTCAATCATCAAATATGACGACACTTACTATAATTCTTTTCATTTAGCCAATCTGTTATAAAGATAGTATAAAATAGACTTAAATGCATTATAATCTTACAGATAAGCATTTCTTTTTTTTCTCAGGCTGTTCTCGAGAGAACCAAATCTGATAGAGTTACACGTGCTGATGAAGACAGACGTCGCCGGACGATCATTGTCGAGAAGAAGAACGGCACGTATGGTTTCACATTACAGGTAATGCTGATTTGTTACTTTATCGAATAATAAATATGTTATCTTGATCTTTCTAATGGGGTCTACGACTGCTCACATGTTCTGTTTTATTAAAATATGGATGTAATCTGAAAAACTCAAAAAAAAAAAACAAATTATATTTTATTTATCAATATTTTATGTATTTTAATTGTATTTTATTTACAAATATCTTTCGAGTTTCAACATATATTATAT